CTTCTCATCACACAACGATGCAAAAATCTGGAGTAAGAAGACGTGTGTGATGAATTCCTTCGTGGAAGTTTTGGCCTTTAATTAAAATGAGTTTTATTCAAATGCTTACTCACGTATTTAAATGACGCAATCAACATGGTTCCACATGTTTAAGCGGATGCATTTTGACTTTATTAAAAACACATTTACAAGACATTCTAAATTCTCACCCGGAGTGCATCTGTTTGATCTTTTCATGATTGCTTGTGTTCCTGCTTGTGCATCTGTTAACTTATTTATTTATTTATTTCCCGACGATCACCTCTCATCCTCGCCACAACGAGCTTAATTACTGTGCAGCTCTCTTTGCTCTGGTTGGTGCTGATTAAAGGGGATGCTGACGCTCCATAGGGAAAGCACGAATGGGAGTTTGTTCACTTTCATGCACACTCTGCTTATCTCTGTCTGACCAGCTCCATTACCATGGCTTTGAGGCCCGGTTTGTAATTGCCTCTCTTTATTACGCTGCCTACATGTCAGGCCAGGGAACAAGGACCTGCTGTATCAAGAGAGAGTACGTGGCAAAACAGGAGCACACACACACACAAACATATACACACATGCAAAGTGCTAATGGTCAGACCTGGAGCATGCACAAAGTAAAGCATTTTGAAAATGAATTAGTGTCACCCTGAGAACAATTGAACAAATAAAATGCAAGAGGCTTGCACGTAAATAACCTGGTTTAAGCTGGTGTCCCTAACAAATATAAGTTTTTACATTTTATTAGGAAGGAGATGTTTTACTGTAATGCTGATTTGTTTTTATGGAACAAACACCATGTGGAGGAGGTAAAAGCATGCTACTTTAATTTATAGCCTCCTCAGGTCACATTTGTGGAGTCGCTCCCTGACTTTAAGCACGTGATTTCACTAAAGAGAAAGTTCCTGTTGAATGTTCATCCTTGAATTGCTTTCTTTAAATATCAGTAATGCTCACACAATTTAGAGTTTAAAAAATGTAAACATACAACACACCCTTGCTAGCCTGGCAAGCAATCCTGTAAATGTGAATTGAATATACTGCCCAGCCAAAAACATAAGGTCACGCACACCAATATTTAATTGGATCGCCTTTAGCTTTGATTACATCACACATTCTCTGTAGCGTTGTTTCGATAAGCTTCTCCAAAATCATCAGATTTATTTCCACCCAGTGTTTCATTAATGTTTCACCAAGATCTTGCATCAATGAAGTCTGACTGCAGCACCAGGCCTTCTTCAGCACATCCCAGAGATTCTCAAGGGGGTTAAGGTCTGGACTCTGGTGGCCAATCCATGCGTGAAAATAATGTTTCATGCTCCCTGAACCACTCTTTCACTATCTGAGCCTGATGAAGCCTGGCATTGACATCTTGGGATATGCCCGTGCCATCAGGGAAGATGGAATAACCTGGTCATTAAGCATAGTCAGGTAGTCGGCTGACCTCATTCTTGGAGCACATCGTGTAGCTGAACCTAGATCTGACCAACTGCAGCAACCCCAGATCATAACACTGCCCCCACAGGCTTGTACAGTAGGCACTAGGCATGATGGGTGCTTCACTTCATAAGCCTCTCTTCTTACCCTGATGCACCCATCACTTTGAAACAGGGTCCATCTAAAAAAGGCCCAGTCCAGACTGTTTTTTCTTAGGAAGCTAAGATCCTTTGATATAAGTCGGAGGCTCTTGAATGTGTTTTATCAGGGGATTATGGCCAGTGTGTTGTTTTCTGCTGTGTTGTGTTGGGGCAGGAGCCTCACTGCTGAGGACAAAAACAGAATCAACAAAATGATCAAGAAATCTGGCTCAGTGGTTGGGCAACGCTTGGACTCATTTGACATGATCATCGACAAAAGGATGAAGAGTAAACTTAAGACAGTTATGACTCTGGAGGATCACCCCCTTCACCCAATTTTTAAGGATCTCGGGAGCTCTTTCAGTGGGCGAATGTTAATGCCCCGGTGCTCCACTGAACGTTTTAGGAACTCTTTTATTCCAGCTGCAGTGCGTTTTTACCATGAGCATTTCGTATGATTGTATATTTGGTATTTTTATCATGCTTGTGGCTTATAGCAGTGACCAGTGAATGTTTTATTGTGTGGATGTGCATGTTGTGTTTACTTGTCCAAGGCAATTCAATTTCCCCCTTGGGGATTAATAAAGACAACCTTGAACCTTGAACTCATCAAACCACATGACCTTCTTCCATTACTCCAGACTCCAATCGTTCTGCTAACTAGAAAATTGGAGCATTTTTTTTCCAGTTTGCTTTACTGATTAGTGGTTTTCGTATGGCTACACAACTGTTCAGTCCCAGTTTCTGGAGTGGGAAGGGGACCACTTATCTCGTGGAAAATGAAAAAGCAGCCAACAGTTGATCTATTAATTAATCGATACATTTCCCTCTGGGATTAATACAATATTTTAGAATTGAATTGAATATAATCAACCTGTGAAGCAGAGTGTTTATCACTGGCAGCAACAGTTCAAGAATGTTTATACTTGAGACAAATGCTTGAGAACATTGACGACTATGAATATGCATTGACGACAGTGTATGAAGATAACCAAGGCACGGTCACGACTGCAAAAAACCCTGTAAAGAGACAAAGATGCAAACATGTCGACATAAAATACCACTTTGTGAGATCAACACTGAAAGAAGGTAAAATGTGTCTGAACTATTGTCCAACAGATGTGACGACAAAGCCTGCTACAGGTTTTAAGTTGAGCAGATTTAACAATGTCATGTTTGGCGTACATAATTAAATGTGTTAAGAGTAAAATGTGCTTTGTTATATTTAATGTATGTGGGTGTGATGAGATTTGTTTATTGATGATGACGCTGGCAATATGAGCACAAGTGGGGGTGTTGAGCCATGCGTCATGATTTATGCGTTCAAACATGTTGGACTTTTATTTTGAAGGCATTTTGTGTTGTGTTCTGTAGAACAACAGCCAGTCAGATGCACAGAAGTGATTGCCATGATGAGGCTCACCTGTACAATGTTTGTCCATATAAGAACTCTGAACTAATCCAGAACTCTAACTAGTCTTAGAAGTTGATGGTGAAACAGTGAGACCAGAGGGATTTGTTTTAAGCGTATGGTTTGTTTTATATATTGACAAGGAAAACCGCTTGTCAAAAAAAAAAGACAAGCAAAACCGCCGCCAGTTTTTTGCTTCTGCTAACAAGTTCCCTTCGCATTGTGCATGTGAAACGCTCTGACTTAGGCCTAGTCCACACGTAGCCGGATTTTTTTAAAAACGAATATCCCCCCTCCAAAAACTTGCATCCACACCACCTCATTTTAAAAAAATACTCTGTCCACACGTACCCGGATAAATACGTTGTTAAGGACATGCCAGACCTGTAGGCGGCAGTACTTCCCCCGTTCTTAACCTCGTCCTTCGTCTGTGGTCTTCCGCAAGGAGCAGTAATTCCGCTTGCAAAAACAAACAAGCAAAAAGCGCTTGGACAATTGATAAAGCGAGCGCAGCTCTGAAGGTATCCATGATGCCGGCTAGTGTAAACACAGGTCGCACACGTGATGTCAGCATTTTTTTGTTGTGGAAAGTGATGTTGCGGACCTTAAAACTCCGGTTTTGTCTGTCCACACGCAGACACCCAAAACGGAGAAAACGCAGATCTTCACTTTGGTCGGAGTTTTTAAAAAGATCCGTTTCGTGTGAAAAAAACTCCGTTTTCGTGTGGATGACAGGCCAAAACGTAGAAAAATATCTAAGTTTTGGCAAATCCCCGGCTACGTGTGGACAGGGCCTTAAACAGCCCTGAGTTCCACTGTTGTTGTTCTGCAATTTGGTTTCACCAAGTCATTGCCGATCGTGATCATTCAGGATTTTTTCCTCTAAGAGGATGGGTCTCCACTATCCTTCCAGTTTTTAATAATGCGTTGGGCAGTTCTTAACCCAATTTTAGTGGTTTCTGTAATCCCCTTAGATGTTTTCTCTGCTTGATGCATGCCAATGATCTGTCCCTTCTCAAACAGACTAACATCTTGTCCGCGACCACCAGATGTGTCTTTCCACATGGTGGTTTAAGAAATGAGAAGCAGCTCATTGCACCAGTTGGGGTTAATGATTATGTAAAGTGGTAATGTTGCGTTGGAGCATACTTCAGAACTATTTGGGATATTATTTTCTTTAGAATATTTGTAGCTAATTGAATTTTTGCAGGGATATAGTTATCTTGTGTACTTCATATAGACAATAATAGTGCTATCATTCCCAAAAATGTTGAAAGTAATTTCTTTATGAGCTAAGGATTATCTAGGACTGAGGAGCACACCCGGCAGTCAGCTTGTTTGAATGATTTGTAATTTTCTGTTTAATTTAATCTTTTCTGCATATTTTGATCTTTTATGGTCAGAAGGTTTTCGGTTTACAGGTACTAGTTGTACCTATCACCTGTTTATGAGGAGTAAACAAGAGTACAGAATTAGCTTTGTGGAGGTGACACTGCAACTGTCATCAAGATGGAGAGAATGCAAGACTCCTGGAGTAAAACAGGCAGATGTCAGCTGTGGTGCCTGACTTTGCAGAAAATCCTACAGCAGATGGGAAAGCTCAGTGATCAAGACCCTAAATATATGTTGAAGTCAGCACATTTACATTTTTTTTTTCCTTGAGCACATCGTGTGTCTGCATCGTGGGCTTTATATAGCCTCCCATAAAAAACGAAGCACACATAGATGACAGGGAGCTTCTGTAGAGGGCAGTGAAAACCTTTAAAGCATTCTGGTTGTTAGTAAATCTGTTAAAATACAAAAATACTGGTGTTTGTTGTGTGTGTGTGTGTGTGTGTGTGTGTGTGTGTGTGTGTGTGTGTGTGTGTGTGTGTGTGTGTGTGTGTGTGTGTGTGTGTGTGTGTGTGTGTGTGTGTGTGTGTGTGTGTGTGTGTGTGTGTGTGTGCTGCACAAATAAAGTGTAAATAATGTTAGCTGTCTTCTCATTTCAGACTTCATGAATACGAGAAGAGATTCGAGCCTCATCTGTCTGCCTTTGAGTTCCAGCATCTCCTTTACAACCTGACAGCTCTGAAGATCAGCAACGCCGGGGGACACAACTGTAAGTGTGGATTTGCGTTTGTGCATTGATATTTGTGTGTTTTCTTGTGTGATGCTATAAGCCTGGCCTCTATTCTGAGTGCTATTATAACACCGCTTGACCTAAAGCTTGATTTTTACATTTCATTTCAGTTTCATGTGCAGTTATTGTTATCCTTCACTGGGGTCCTTTTCCTCCCAAAGATTGTTGAAATTATTTTATCACGAGCTTCTTTTGTGGCATCCTCTGAATAATCCCCACTTCCACTTCTTCTGCAGGCTAAATTCAATTCTGTTTTGTGGCGGCGTTTTGAGAAGTAATAACAAGTAAACATGACAGAATGAGGGCAAAACACATATGTGGCATATAACACGTGTCAAAAAACAAGCTCTTATTATTCTCACTTATGACCCCCACATACTCTACTACGGCATCTAGTTACGTATATTTCTCAAGTGAAAATATTCCTGGCAAAACAAATTCCAACTCTGAATCCCTGATTTGACTTCCAAGCTTCTGGACCAGCTCTTCGCTGCTTTTTTTAGCAGTTTGGCCCGTACATGTGGGGCACGACTGACTTACATTGATGTCTACATATCTGTCGAAATGAGACTGAATACATCTTTGACATATATATTTTCCTAAATAAGGATAAATATTTTTATGCTAGTCTACTTTGATTCTAATGGGAAAAAAGTAATGTTGGTCTCACCCAATCACCACTTATAAGAGCAGCTTTGCCCCCTGCTGACAGAAATTGGTAACTACGCCTTCTTAAAATGTGAACTCTGAATATTTTAGGCATTACATAATCAGAGAGCTTTCTTTCCACAGAGGTTGTCTCACAAGGCATGCATTTATGCTACAGACCACAGCAAATGTATTGATAAAAGTGAGTGAATTGGTCTTTAAAATTTGCCTCAATTAATCCTGATAATAGATGCCTAAGCCACGTCAACTGGCTCCTCTTGATGTGGAGCAGCAGCAGATCTACTACAAGCCCCTCCCTATAATTTTTAAATAAGGGAATATTTAGAGTTTCAAATTAACCAATGATGCATGTCTTTGATACTTAGAAGGAAACTGGAGTATCAGGAGAAATTTAATGCAAGCATGAGGAGAACTTGATAGATCCATGTAGAAAGTCCACAGCTGGAATAAACAACATGTAACTTTCTTGCTACACGGCAGCAGTGGTACCAGCTACGCCACCACGCGGTGTTGTTATAACAAATTTTTATTAAATATTCAAAGTTTGCACGCTTCAAATCCTTCAAGTGTTACAACTTCTAAGTTGCTATCAACTTTCTTCTTCTGTTTTATTTATTTATTTATTTTTTTTGGTTTGTTTGTTTGTTTGCACGTCCTTTCCTCTCTGTCTGATCGTTGGGATTGTAACGAACGTTCAGGATCTGAGAGACTCGGACGCTGGATTAGAGCACAGAGAAGAAAGAACAGCTGGCCGAAATTACCGGCTCCCTCACACTTGCCTGCACCGTTTTAATTAGCTGCTCGGTGAAGCCGATGCAACGCCCACTCCTGTCTACTTCCTAGATGCGCAAAAACAAATAAATAAACAAAAATCAACAAGAAAACAACTGACATGGAGGCTTGTGCGGAAAACAAACACAGGCACGGTCATGCATATTCCATCAAAACCATCCTCCACCCACGCGAAAAATGCTGCTCAACGGTTCGCGCTGCATCCACGGCACAGAGAGAAACTCATTTCATGATTTGTGGGGTTTTTTCTACAGAACTTTTCAGATGTGTCTTTTTGTTACAAAAAGCTTTAATTTGGTCACATTTCACTCTCTGCACCACCTCCGTGTAACAGAGCAGTCTGATTTTAATCCGAGTGTTGTCTCTGGCAGGGATCTCAGTAAAGACACCTCATTTTCTCAGAGTCTTTATGAGAGTGCATGACCGTATTGAATTTTTATGAGAAATCGATGCCTTAATGGCTTAGTATACGGGGGCCTCACCAGTGGGCCGGGCTGCTGCCACACATTTATGCTAAATGCAGTTTTGATAAGGTTTCTAAGAAAAGAAGAAAAACACATAAAGCATTGATGGAGAGAAGTTGCGCTGCATGAGTCCAAATGAAATGCTTTTAATTAACATAAATATAGACTTAAGTAAACGTTTTAATAGCACACATCTCTTAGTGAGTGAGCTGAGAGGCAAGGGCAGAGGCTAAAGCGAGGGAAGAGGACGGGCTGGTGCACTGATTACCTCTCTGAGGTGCAAATGTGGTGGATTTCATCAGAGTCAAAGGGAACGACTGGATCACGACTTGCGTGAAGCCCAGGTGCATCCTCCACTTTGACTTCTCCGCTTTATCGCCTCTCCCTGCGTCTTCCTCTCTGATCGCAGGCAGGAGCTTATTATTCACACGTGTCGTCCATCTATCTGGTCATTTATCTGTTTAATCGTGAGAGCAGAGGCAGCAGCAGACACGGGAGGACCAAAAGTAATTTTGTGGCTGCTGCTCAGAGACTAAAGGATGTGAGGGATTCGGTTCAGGATGGCCTGCCCCCATCTCTATTCATGAGAGGAGCGAGGGGCTTTGAGGCCTCACCGGAGCTGCATGTTTGACATACCTCTACAGGGTCTCCTGTCTCCCTTTTTTCCATGTCTTGCTCTGCTGGAGTGCTTTTTTTCCATTTGCTATATCAAAGAATAGCTGAATGACGTTCTATGTGTGGCACATGCAATCTCAGTGTGGATGGGATCTATTGTTTATATATGTCACGTTTTAGGTTGTAAATGCACAAATATGTAAGGGAAAAATGAGAGGTTCTTACATTTTATTTAATGAGCCGGAAGGCGCGGGATTCCATAGGGAATATGAAATCCGCCTCACGGATCGGGGTTGGTTAGACCAGAAGATCGGGTCTTTTTTATGCAGAGATTATGTAACCGTTATGTATTCACTCAGAGACAACAAAATAGAACGAGTCAAGTTTAAAAGTTAAGAAATTTTATTACTAACAATTAAACTAGGCTTATTTAAGAACTAAGTGTATAGTGCGACTAAAAATGGATGAGGCGGTGAATGGATGACGTGTCATGTAAATCAGAACCAGCAAATCCGAAGAAGCGATTAGTTCTGACGGGAACTGAAGATGTTGGTTTGGAATGAGCTGGGATTCGTTTCAGAACTGCATGAGACACCATCAAGCCGCGCCTACCTGCCTGGTGGGAGTCCTCTGTGAGATCAGGAATGCCGAGGTCCACCCGGACCCTCTCTGGACACCGAGCTGGTAGCAGAGCTGCGGTTCCGACCAGACCCGTCTCGGGATACTGCCGGCACATGACTCCTTTCTTGCCGTCTGTTCAGACCCAGCCTGGGTCAGTGGAGCTCTTATTCTGAAAGGAGCTGTTGTCGTTGCTAGTTGTTATAGCAACTGGATTTTCTCAGCTTGTTTTGGTTCTTTCGGTTGAAGAGTTAAAGTTGAGGATTGGCCACTACTTCTGTCTTCATGCGGGAATGTAAACAGTTTAGAAACGACTGTATGACCTTCAGGCTGTTTCAGACACACTGACACTGTGTCAAAAGCAAACAGCTGTTAGTGTAGAAATGGCTCCTTCGTCACGTTACAAATACATTCCTACAATCCCCGTCTAGGACAAAAGCAAACATTTTAGTGTCTCTAACATATAATTTCTTATGATGACTAAGATTCTTCCTCCTTCTTCTTTTTCTTGACTCCTCAGACACATCACAGCTTGCGGGGGTAACCCTGACCTCTGCTTCCATCGCCTCCCAACCAAACAGTCCTCCTGCTCTGTGGGTGGAATCTTGCTCATGTCCTCGAGGTCTTGCGGGCCAGTTTTGCGAACGATGCACCCAAGGGTTCACCCGAGAAGATTCCAGCAGAGGGCTGCTCTCAGCATGTGTTCCATGCAACTGCCACCATCATGGGCCCTGTCATCCAGAGACAGGTAACAAAGGAGATGTTGATGTTGTGTTTGAGATTTACTCAAATGGAGTCAAACAGTGATGTTTCTGATGGGTTGGGGGGTTAGGGTTATGCGTGCGTGCGTGTATGTGTATACATCAAAGTGAGGATGAAAACAAGTTTTTTTACCCTGCAAACTGAGGACATTAGTAGCAAAGTGAGGTCATTTTGCTGGTCCTCACTTTGGGACAGTGTTACAAAGCTCTACTGGTTAGTTTTGGAGGTATGGTGTGAATTAAGTTTTAGTTAAAGGGACTCTAAGGAAGTTTGACAGCCAAAACATGTATAGAAATAATAAATGTCTTCTTCATACATTCTCCTGCAATGCCCTGGTCCTGTAGAATGAGCCCTGGCATTTTTACTGTGATTGCCTGTTTTTCTGTAAAATCACAGAAAAAGAGAGATGCTCGGGTCGAGCAGGCTGCTTCATGCGCTTTCACGCTCAGGCATAGCCCGTAGCATTTGCTATCCGTAGCTTTAGCAGCAGAGAGAGAGGTAGTGCCAACTCAGCGACTTTGTCGCTGTTCCTAACGCCTAGTGATGAACCTAGCTACATTTCTGAGGACCCTTAGCTACTTTCTGTAGAACTTTCTTCTAGATATTTCCTGCAAATTAGCAACAAAATAGCCATTTTCGCTCTGAACCGTTCTTTGAAAGTTGTTTCAGCTGTCATCAAGGATATAAATGTTACAGATACAAAAGGTGCCACAGATGCTTTAGCTCACCTAGTAAGATGTTGGACTATTGTGCAGAAGACCTGGGTTCGATTCTAGATGTGAACATGGTTTATTCAGTTTGTTTTTTACATTAAGGGTATATTTTTTACAGTAAGATGCCCAAATTTTTATTTGAGACTCGCCGAACGGCATTGAATTCACAGATAAAAAAGATGTGGGTTCAACTTTCATTTGGAACAATTTTTCAAGCAAGGGAAGGGAATGATCTGAGCATGCAGGAGCACTGATCCATCATAAACCTTTGTCGGCTGTGCTGAAAAGAAAGGTACAGAACCAAATTATTTTATTAATTAGCTGCGCGTTCTCCTGTCCTCTGTCCTCCGGGGCACTCACGCACACACACACACCTACACACACACCTACACACACACACCACACACACACACACACACGGGACTGTCTCAGCTGTAATTTTCGTTAAGGAGTGTGCACGTACAGCATGCGTGCTTCGTGCACAAGCCTACTATTGAAGCTGCCGTTACGCTTTTGGCCTGAGGGGGCAATCGCGAGCATAAAAATTCAAAACTCCGTAAAGTCCCTTTAAGGTTAGGGTTGGGAGTAGACTGGTTATGGTCAGAGTTAGGGTTAGGCATAATCCTGTCACTAAAATTAATCAGTCAATGACGGTCCTCACAATGAATGCTAGACTAGCGTGTGTGTGTGTGTGTGTGTGTGTGTGTGTGTGTGTGTGTGTGTGTGTGTATGTGTGTGTGTGTGTGTGTGTGTGCCCATCCTTAACCAAATACTGAAAAATAAACAAGTATCACCTAAGTGCGTTGAAATAGCTCAATGTTTTATGTTTTTCCTTGAGTTTTTTTAATCTATGCACATGATTTAGTTTATCTTTTTTCTGTAATGCGTTTCAGTCATTCTCTTTGATCACATTCAAATCTCTAATTACCTTATGATTTGTTCCGTGCATCTGCTCCAGCAAAGTAATTCCCAATTTTCCCAGATTATCTGTCTGATTGTGGACTTAGCTTTAGAACCCAAATGACACCACAATCAGTTTTTCGGCCCTCGATTCACTTTCTGAAACTGTAAGTTTGTACTTGTGAAGGTTTGAAGGAAACACTAAATGCTAAAATTGAAATTTTTTTTGGGTGGATGCCGGTGCTCTTTCATTTTTCAGATCTGGTGATTATGACCATCCTCTCAAAATAAATCTGGAAACTGTCAGGAAGCCATAAAGACGTTGGTGCCACCTCACTGACAACTAATCAACAACATTTCTGTTTCAGTGGTTTTAACTGGAGTAGAAAGCCTTAAAAATCCTAAAACATTGAAATCATAAATCAAGTAGTACCTTTTTTTATTTAAAGGTGAACTCCATCAATTTAACAATATGTGGCGTGTCGATAGTTATGACGAGGTCACCACGGTCTGTCAAAACAGCTGAATAATGTCACTGGAGGACGGTGGTAAAATTTTATGATCTTTCTTAATATCTCTGTAGTATTTCAGCCTGAGCTCGGAGACTCCAGACATGTCTCAGAACGTCTGAATATAAGATGTGGGGTGGAATTAGGAGACTGTGTATCATCATTATAGGAAGGGTTTGTCCACAAGCTCTGGTCCAATTGAATGTAAAGTTAGGAAATCAAGTAAATACCATTCAACACTTTTGGACAAATCTTTCAATCCAGATGTAACAGCCGTGTTGGCCGTCTTGGTGTGATTTCTGAAGGCAAACTACAACCAGTATGTTTCTAGGCTGCTAAGCTAGGCAGTAACAGCACAGAGACGATCAACACAAACAAAGGGAAGCTAATGTTCAGATTTTAAATCAGTTTTTTGAGCCAGTATGTTACTCGGACCCCTACTGCCTTTTGCTGCCAGAATATCAAACTTGCAACTTCAGAGTGGCGGCCCACCCCCTGTTGTGCTTCCAGCACGTTTGCAGCATGTTTTAAATCATGAACACGGCTGATTTTTTTTGATTCGGTGATGAATTACAACTTCTGCAAAATTTGGCAGCACGCGTCCTGATGAAGACCAGGAGGCGGGAGCACATTACACCAGTTTTAGAATCATTGCATTGGCTCCCCGTATGTTTCAGGATCCATTTTAATGTTCTTCTAATGGTTTTTAAGTGTCGTAACGGTCTTGGGCCTTCTCATCTCTCAGAACAGTTTTTACCATATGAACCCTCACGGCCTCTGCGCTCCTCTGGCAGGCGTCTCCTGGCCATCCCTAAAGTCAGGACACAAACTCACGGCAAGGCGTCCTTCCAGTATTACGGCCCTCGCCTCTGGAACAAGCTGCCAGAGGACCTCAGGGCCGCAGAGAACGTTCATGTTTTTAAGTCCAGGCTCAAGACCTATCTTTTTAGGTTAGCTTTTATCTAAATATTTACTACAGTTTTATTTCTCGTTTTACATGATTGTATTTTATTACTTGCTTTGCATGTTCTATGTGATTATATTTTAGCTCCGTTTTATTATTTAATATTATTAGTTTACTGTCTATATGATTTTATTTATTACTTATTTTCTAACTTTTGTCCCTTATATTAGCTCTTTTATTATATTTTTACTCATTTTAATTGGGTGTTTCCTCTTTAGGGGCCCTCTGCCCCGGGAGCGGTGGTTGACTGTAGCTTCCTGGGCGCTCTATAGGTGGGGGTCTATGCTCCCCCTCCACTGAGCGCCCTGACTTAGTGTGGAAGACCTGATGCTGCCGGAGCAGACGGCTCCTCTGATGGCGTTTCCTTGCCTTACCTTACTTGGCTCATCTGGACTCAGCCAAATATAATTTTTACGTGTGTGTGTGCGTGCGTGTGCGTGCGTGCGTGTGCGTGCGTGCGCGTGTGTGTGTGTGTGTGTGTGTGTGTGTGTGTGTGTGTGCGTGCGTGTGCGTGCATATGTCTGTTAATGTTTTTAACCTGTTATGGGAATCTGGGGTCATTTTGTAAAGCACTTTGAGTAGCATTTTGTTTGAAAAGCGCTTTATAAATAAATCTGATTGGTTGATTGAACTGCTCCTGTAGAAACTAATGAGGGCTGAGGAGGCATTTCAGATGTTAGATTTAGTGTGCCCCAGGGCAGCTGTGGCTACATCGTAGCTCATCCCCACCAGTGTCTGAATGTGTGTGTGAATGGATGAATGATACACTGTAGTGTAAAGAACTTTGAAGTCCGCTGATTCTGAAAGGTGCTATACAAGTGCAGGGGCCTCATTAATCAAGTTTGCTTACGCACAAAACGGGGTCGGAAAACTGCGTAAGCAACTTTCCACGCAAACGTTGGGATTTATGAAAGAAAACTTAGCGGAAAAATGTGTGCAACTTTAAGTTGGCTAAGGACCTGGCTTACGCACATGTTGGACATGGAGAGCACCTGCAGTGCTGCTGCTGAGAAGGATTAAATTATGAAATCCTGCAGCATTATCACTTGTACCACTTCGTTTTCACACAGAACAAGACCCCCCACATGCACACACACACATGCGCACACACACACACACACAGCCTGAAGTGCAGAATACGGAATGCAGAATATCAGCAGGGGGGCAGATTGAGACAGAATGGCATGCGTCTGTGACAGTGTGTGTCCTGTCGCTGTGACCCGACTGATCATGCGCCCTGGCTACTTGAACAGGGAGATCTCTGTTTGGCTGACTGGTTGGCGCGTGTGACTTTCACCTGGGAGTCTGGGGACCGAATCCTGATCGGACCTTTTTTTTTTGTATTCGTCACAGATCTCTCTGAAGAATTCAGTATTGACGGCTTCAGCAATGCTGTGCCACTCAGTGGATTTTCTCTTATTTGTTTTGCAAAAGCACTTCCTTTCATTTCTCCACCTCACCCACAAGTACCTCAATTTCTGCTTGCTAAATTGTGCTTCCTTAATCTGCGGTCATGATCGAATGCTGCAACAAGCCGGCTTATGTACATGCATGAGATCCTCAAGGCACTTTGCATTGACCATTTATGGCAGTAAGTGGGCGTGGTGAGGGTGGAATGTGACTAAAATGCAGCTGAGAAACATTCTCGTTAGTCTCTGATTTTTGAAGCGAAGATTGCGTGCAGCTGTGCGTACTCCATGTTTGATAGATCACAAACCTACTTTATGTAAGTACTTTTTTTTTTTGCTGAACTTAAGTACGGTTTTAGTAAGGATTCTACACAATGTTTGGTAAAAGAGACCCCTGGTCTTTTATCATTTTGCTTTAACTAGCAGAACACTGGGGATACTAATCAAGCAAGTCAAAGCCTCTTAGTATCTCTTTAAGGGTGTGGTAGGTC